GATATGAGAACAGAAGCTTTACAATGTACCTGTACTCGCACTTGTACAGACAGTGAGTGTAATTTCCCTCGTCAGCGTGTGGCACTCGTCCCGCCATGAGCAGCCGGGTGGTGGGTGGTGTGGATGCCCGGCGGGGGGAGCTGCCCTGGCAGGTCAGCCTGAGGCTGCAAGGTCAGCACACCTGCGGGGCCTCCATCATTAGCGAGAAGTGGCTCGTCACCGCGGCTCACTGCTTCGAGAGGTATGCGGCCGCGAGCGCCCAACTGAAACGCCGCATCTCCGCTAGGTCCGGCTCTGTGACCGTCATGGCTGCCCTGTTGTCCTCCCCTCGTGCCACAGAGATAAAGACCCACGATCTTGGACTGCCCTGGTGGGGGCCACCTTGATAAGCGGGCAGGAGCCAAAGTCCAGAGTGGTCAACATCTCGTCCATCATCGTGTCTCCGGACTTCGACCCCAGCACCATTAACAACGACATCACGGTGGTGGAGCTGGAGACGCCGCTCACCTTCAGCCCATACGTCCAGCCCATCTGCCTGCCGTCTCCCGCCCACGTCTTCAGCCCCGGCCAGGAGTGCATGGTCTCGGGTTGGGGAGCGCTCCACGAGTTCAGCTGTGAGTGTCCGCAAGATGGTGCCAGACTCTGCCACCTGCCACCTGCCACCTGCAGGGCACGACTGCGTGGGGGGCGTTTCCCAAAAACTAACTGGGGGGGGCGTTTCCCAAACGGCGTTTCCCAACAATTCGCTTGCATGGTTCCAACCATGCAGGTTGCTAACGTAGCGCCGCCCGCACCGCTGCCCGCTGCATCAGTAGCTACACGGACCACTGGCTGCCCGCTCTCCTCACTTTGCACGCCTGCTGGAGTTTTGTCACATTTTATTTATTTAGCAGTTGCTAACGTAGTTACTAACATAGTTAGCAACCATACTTTTGGGAGACGACCCCCTGGACAAGAAGTAACTTAGAAATGAATGAGCTGAACTTCAGTGAATGTCTTGGCCAAGGAGATATAGGACAAACCACTCTGAGTAAATGAACAGTGCTGCTGTAGATAACACTGTCAAGTTTAACACTGTCAAGTTTAACACTGTAAAGTTTAACACTGTCAAGTTACACTACACTGTGGGATAAATTCACTAAGGGCCTGTTTTTCCCCTACCCCTCTACCCCCCTACCCCCCTGCACCGGCATATGCTACAGGTCTGTGTTTGAAATGTTTAACTTGCTTGTTGGCTTCGTACTGGCCTTAGCTCTGTCTTCACTGCATGCCTGCGTACAGTTGAGCTGCCCTCCACCCTTCAGAAAGCCGTGGTCAAGATCATCGACTCCAGAGTGTGCAACAGTTTGTCCGTTTACAAGGGAGCCGTCACTGGCAGCATGATGTGCGCTGGCTTCCTGCAGGGCAAGGTGGACTCCTGTCAGGTGACCCTCAAATGTCTGTTTTCTTGTTTATACATAGAATCAGAGTATTTGTGGCCCCGTCACAGTAATGCGGTGCAATTATTTACCAATGGGCCGAAAGCAGGACAGTCCCTTTAAATCCCTTTAATCACAAACTGCTGTTTTAGGATTGATAAAAAAGGAAGTGCTGCACAAATCGATATATCTCTGAGAAATCCCTAAACATATAGCAAAGGTTCATATTTACATGGTAAATATCATTGCATAGATCGCCTTTGATGAGGATGCCCAGCAACTGTTATAGATTATAGTTCAGCACTTGTTTTCGGTGGAAGCATCTGGCTGCTGCAGAAGAACTGAATGCACTGAAGCTCTGGCCAGACGGGCCGTTCGCTGGCGCTGGTCTCGTCCTTCGCGTGCAGCCCTGCGGTTTTCCTGTGCTCACGCTCTGTGTCTGAGCCGTGTGTCTGTCTGACTGTGCCGCAGGGAGACTCCGGCGGGCCCCTGGTGTGTGAGGAGGCCCCTGGGCATTTCTTCTTGGCGGGGGTGGTGAGCTGGGGAGTGGGCTGTGCCATGATGAACAAGCCCGGGGTCTATTCCCGCGTCACCAGGCTGCGTAACTGGATCCTCAGGCAGACGGCCTCCAGCCTGGTCCCAGCGATCCCAGTCGCGGCCGCGGCGCCCATGACGACCGCCGCGGTCAGCCGGCCTGCTAGACCTCCCACAGCACCTCCCACAGCCGGTAACAGATCACTCATCCACAAAGCCAAGGCACTCCACCAATATTCACTTGTGAAATGATTAAGTCCTAAGTTTTTTGTTATTTTGGTTTTTCAGAGGTGGAATTAGAGAATATACTTAAATGTATTCTCCACTGGCAAGTAGGAAAGGCACCTACCAGGAATTGATGAATATCTCTGTCTTATAGCTGTAAACTGCAGCGGTAACTTCAAGTGTGCAGCAGACGTGTGCACCAGCAAGGTCAACCCTGAGTGCGATGGGGTCACCGACTGCCCCAACAAAGCCGATGAGATGAATTGCGGTGAGTATGTCCCTCAGTCATTTCCCCCTCACCTTCCTGACTCAACTGCGCCCCCGCCAGGCAGGTGAAAGGTACCACAGTTCACTAGTAGACAGGTGGTTGAGTGTCTGTCACGCAAGGTGACTGACTGACCACTTCCAGCCCTGTGCCCCGGCCCATGCAGACTGTGGCAGTCGACCATCTGTGGGCCCCCAGAGGATTGTGGGTGGAGTGATGGCGCGAAGCGGCGAGTTCCCGTGGATGGGAAGCCTGCAGCATCAGCGCTCCCACCGCTGTGGCGCTACACTCATACACTGCAAGTGGCTCCTCACTGCTGCCCACTGCTTCTATAGGTACACAGGCCACTGCCGGCCCGCTCTCCTCACTCTGCAACCCTGCTGGGGCTTTTTCACATGTTACTTACTTAGCAGACTCTCTTATCCAAAGCAATGTATGTTTTTTCAGAAAGCAGAGGGTCAGTCAGCCGCTGTAGACCTTGGGGGGGTTAGGGGCCTTGCTCAGGGGCCCAACAGTGAAATCACTTTGCAGAATCGGGGATTTGAACCTGCAACCTTCCGAACACAGGATCAGATCTGATCACCTACCACTTAACTGACTTGATGAGTTTGTGTTTGTGCGTTTCCTGTGTGTGCTCCTGGTCATTAGACACTGGGCCACCAGAGGGCATTTGTGAGTAACATCCTCTGCATTATACACGCAGCAACCAGAGTCCTGCTGGCTGGACGGTCAGTCTGGGCTCAGTAGTCCGCTCGGGGATAGGGGCGCTGGTCATACCTCTCCAGAGGGTCATCCTGCACCCAAACTACAACAGCAGCAACATGAACTTCGACGTGGCTCTGCTGGAGCTGTCGGTCCCGGCCCCGAAGTCGTACACCATCCAGTCCATCTGCCTGCCCTCCGCCGTGCACAGATTTCAGAAGACTGACGAGTGCTACATTGGGGGCTGGGGCTCCCTCAGGGAGGGAGGTGAGTCCGTAACTGTGTTCAAACATGCAGCTAGAGGCAGGAAGGACCTACATGTCTGCAAATCCTCTGAATCAAAATACCGCTAAAGCAGCCTGGCTCTACTTAATGTCTGTTTATATTACACAGCCGTCTTCCAACCACTTATCCAATACAAGGTCACATGACGGGGGGATGGAGCCTATCGCAGGTAGCATAGGAACCCCCTCAGCCTGGAAAGTGTGAGGCAACAATCCTGCCCACTTAGCCAGCCAATCAGCTCCAGGCCACCAGGATTCTTGCTTTCATGAGCAGTGCACTTCACACCTGCACTTAATGTTTCCCGTTCCTTTTGAAGGTCACTTGATGTCATCATCTGATTCATGAGAAACTGTTGGATAAGTGAGTGGTCATCTCCGGCATTAAGAAAGTCGTTTCCGCCCTTTACCTGGCTGGTTTGTGGTCGTTCCCATTGTCTCCTGCTTCACCTCATTCTTGTGTACTGCTCTCTTAGAAATTTTGAACCTGGAAGCAACCTGCTGCTCAGCATAGCCTTCAGCTAGCAGAACCACGATTTAACCAGGATTTAAAATGCAGTTTTGTATGGAGAGTGGTCTCTTAATTTTTTTCTGCAGTTGTATATATTTGTGTATATGTGTATATATGCTGTGTATGCACACACATATATGCATAGACATGTGTGTTTTACGAAATACTAATCAGAAATTTTTAACAAAATAATCGTGTGGGATGGAAATGCTGCGTGCACTTTTCACGCGGCAGTGGGACACAGGAATCTGATGCTGTGAGCGGCTCTCCTCTCTCCGGGACCCTTAGGAGCGCTGACTGCCCTCCTGCAGAAGGCCCAGGTGGGAGTCATCGAGCAGCCAGACTGCCAGCAGGTGTACGGACGAGGCCTCACGCCAAACATGATGTGTGCAGGTTTCATGGAAGGCGGCAGCGACACTTGCATGGTAGGCAGAGTGCGTGGTGAGCAGAGCGCCTGGTGAGCAGAGCGCCTGGTGAGCAGAGCGCGTGGTGAGCAGAGCGCCTGGTGAGCAGAGCGCGTGGTGAGCAGAGCGCCTGGTGAGCAGAGCGCGTGGTGAGCAGAGCGCCTGGTGAGCAGAGTGCGTGGTGAGCAGAGCGCGTGGTGAGCAGAGCGCGTGGTGAGCAGAGCGCCTGGTGAGCAGAGTGTTGGCATTGCTTATTACTGTTCCTGTGGGCTGCAGATTATTTGGCCGTGAAATGAGTCCTCTGGTCCTTTTTAAGAGGGTTACAGTTCTGTGCTGCGCAAGTCTTAGGCAGTCAAAGAAAATGTTTAAATGATCCTTGTTCATCTAGCCATCCAAAATATCAGTAACTTCTTGGAGAACAGAAGAAATTCTTATTAATCTTTGTTGTGCTATTCTTAATCTGCAAATGTCCTAATGTCAAGTTGTGTTTTTTCTAAGCAAATACACACTTACTGTCCAGATAAATAGCTTTAAGCCGGTGGGTTTCCTTCCTGTTCCTGTTTTCATTCCAACCCACACAGCTTTCAACCTGCTACATTCATTATTACTCTGTTAAGGCCCATCTGAGCCCAATTAAGGTAGGGTTGGAATAAAAACATTCTCCCAGGGGGTCCTCCAGGAACAGGCATGAGACCCATTGGCTTAAAGCATTTTTAGGTCCAGAGAGTAAAAGTCCAGACCAAGATTTTGTTTCAGCCAACCAGTTGAGTATATAGTCACAGTCAAAGAGTTCTCAACTGGTTGGTTTATACGAAATCTTGTTCTGGACTTTTACTCTCTGGACATGAGCTACTCACCTCTGTTGACTACCTAATACTTTTGCACAGCACTGCATATCCAAAGCTAAGCGTGAAACTTCTTAAATCCATACCATGAACTCCAGTTGTGCACTTGCGTCTCCCAGTGGTACCCTGTGAAATCACGTTGGCAGGACCTAGCTGGCAAATCATAATGGGGGTTCAAGGGCTCAAGGCATGCCCCAAAGTTAACCAAGAGCACCATCTAGTGGGGTCAGAAAATACAGCGAATGGTTCAGGAGGCTTCATTTGGCCATCACTGGATTAGGCGGCAGCCCCAGGCGACAGTGAGGTGTCCGCTGGCTAAAGCAGCACTGACCGCACTGCCGCTCTGCTGCAGGGAGACTCCGGGGGCCCCCTGGCATGCCGGGAGCATTCAGGCCGGTGGTTCATCGCCGGGGTGACAAGCTGGGGTCACGGCTGTGGCCGGATCGGCTTCCCTGGAGTTTACGTTCGGGTCACCGCCATCAGAGAGTGGTTGTCCCGCCAAATGCCTTTTTAAGGTTCACTCATGAAGAAGGCAACATTAATCCCATACTCTGTTCCAACCCTGAGCTTTGTTTGCTATTTTATCTCATATTATGTGTACCATCAGTTTTTTTGTTGTTTTTATCAGAATATTAAGTGAATGTCACACACAACATTTAGGCTGTCGAAGGTTTATGGACAAAATCCTACAACGCAATGAGCTCTGTTACAATATTTGTATTTATTTTCATATTTATTGCATCTAAATGTTTAAAGTAGCAGAATTGTCAGATTTTTTTTTTGTTTGATCCAGATACAATATTAACTGCTATTATTCAGATATTTGTAACCACTTCCTCAGTGCTGGAGTATTTGTGTTGGTTCTACATAACTTCTAGCCAAACAACCTGCCTGTGTATTAGCCTAAGGATGCAACGGTGATTTTTCTACATGATGAAATACTAAATACGAATTTCAGTCAGGTCAGTACTAATGGAAACACAATATCCTCAGTATATTTTGTGGGAATGCCAAATAAACTTCCTTCTATGGTTTAAATCAGCCATTCCGAGCCTGTTCTATAGTGAGAGCTGCTGTTACAAAGAAAATACTCAGGTGAGCTACTGAATCATGATGGCACATTCTGCTGTCTGACCTGAGTCACACCAAGTATACTTTACCAATCAGGGTGGTTTAAATAAAGGCCCAGGCTTTTCAGACGTCATATGGACATAACACGTCAGCATGCTACACAGCTAATGACTAGCCCTTCTATAACCTACTGGTTTTGTGTACCTTAACAGAGGCACATTGCAAATTACACTGGTTACTGTTCAAATATTGGCTAAAAGTTTTATTTAAATAAATTTAGTACATAGAAAAATCACAGGCATGCCATTTAAATGTCTTCCTGAGGGTATGTTTTAACCATCTTCCATAAATAACATGGAAAAATGTCCAGCGTTGCCACAGAAAGATCATGAACCATATTTTGTTGACAAAGTCTTGTTTTTAATCAGCACCCTGATATTTAATATAACATTAAATATGAATCCCCCTTGATTAAAACTAGATTTGTTGAGCACACATGGTGATGTTTGGCATTCTTCATAGGGGGACACTTTACACAACACAGGACTAGGCAGCAGACTCCCAGGAACACTGCACCAAGGGTCCACCAAAGCCCTTCCTGCTGCTTTAATTACAATACTTATCCTCCTCTGTTCCAGGAGATGAAACAAAGGATAAGAGTAATCTTCATCACAAATGGGGGACAAATGTCCAATATGGGGCTGTAAAGGTCTGTGTGCTACGGCGCCGAACTCTCATCATCTGTGCAGTGAAAGGGGGAAGCACGGAGGTAGAGGACGGCGGTCTTCAGATGCGAGCCCGTTCCTTCTGCAGTCTGGAACTGTAGGTCTTGGACACGGTATTCCGTACGTCCAAGTACCGATCCATGCACATGGCTATGCATTTCTGCAAACGCAATCGTAACGTTACAAATTTAACGCTGATCGTGCACTAGATGCCAAAGTTTTTAGTATTAGTTCTTTTATTATTATTACTACAGCGGTAGGTATAAGAGATACCGTACCTGTTCAGAGTTGTCCAGCGTCCCCCCAGGTTTGTCGATACACTTACGAAAGCATTTGTCTGTCAATCTCTGAAACATAAGATACTCCGTGTTACATTAGGATTTATGTGAATCTCGCTCTGAGATTAATTGTGTCAACAGTTTAGTTCCAATTCAGTTTGTCTACCGAAAAATATAAGCGAGGTATCCTATCAATGGCTAGTAATAATGTAGCTCGTATACACATGAAAAGTGAAGTGGAATCACAAGCAAGGTTAATGGATAACTAGTCAGAAAAAATATGGTAGTTATTCAGAGTTATAACTAGAAACATGCACATTTCACTCATAGCACTACTGGGTTTACGATCACTTGCCATAATTCTGCAATTAATCCAGAACTGGGGTCTAAAAAGTTGGTGGTACTTGCCTGCAGGAGCTCCTGTGCGTTTGCCACCGCAATCTGCACCTTCACTTGCTCCATTATGTGCTCCGTATCCATTTTACCTGATCCGGCGCTTGATGAGAAATCAGAACCAAACCCATCCATTTTCCCAACCGGGTTCCCCCAAGGCCAAATATGCTGCTCAAACAACCGTTATTACAGCAACACGTGAGCGCAGCAAAACCACGAAGCCGCTCGATGCCCTTGAGAAGCGCCGGATATTGTGTTTGCGCTATTTCCGGACGAAAGGCAGCTTGGGACATGTAGGCTGTTCATCCGGAGAAACGGACACGCGCTTGTAGTTACCTTTGAACGTTGATTATATTTCAATAGCTGCTCCATAACACTTAATTTAAGAATTTGAGCAAAAAAATCAAATAATTTTCTAAGTAAATCATTAAGTCAGTGATGCGGCATTTGGACGCAGAGCATATTTGGCTGTAGAGGAGGGTATAGAGGACGTGTCAAATTCAAGAGTTGAGAAAATAACAGAGGTGGAGATTTCAGGTCCAGAGAGTACAAACCCAGACCAGGATTTTTTTTCAACCAACTAGTTCAGTACTCCGTGACTGTGGCTCTTCATACTCAACTGGTTGGTTGAAACAAAATCCTGGTCTGGATTTGTACTCTCTGTACCTGAAATCTCTACCTCTGGAAAATAACTTCGCCGCCTCGTTTTACGTGGTCCAAATGAATTCACAAAATAAAGAAAAAGAAATCAACAACAATATTAAAATTATGTAATAATTTTGTGTAATCAGTGGCCTGAACAGTTTGTGGGTGGGATGGCTAGAGTCCCTAGTGATCCTGGTGGCCCGGGATCTGCACCTACCAGCCCGTTAGGACATCTATGCTGAAAGGTGCAGATCCCGCCCACAAACTGATCAGGCCACTGAGGTCAGGGAAACGCCTCTGCAGCCTGAAGTCAAGAACTGAACGGTTTAGGAGGAGTTTTTACCCATAAACAGTGAGACTCCTCAACCACAGCACATAATGGACAACGACACACACACACACAGTCTTCTACTATCCATTTCCATAGCTATAAAATATTTGCATATCTGCATTTCATGGCACACCTACAGTGAGATTTATATCTTCACAGTGCAATCTGTATACAGTGCAATTTATACTTTATATTTATACTTTCACAGTGCAAAGTTATCTATACTTATGTGTGTTATGTATACTATATGCACTTTATCTTTCTGTGATGTTGGTACTTATTTCTTTTGTATGTATAGCACAGCCGGGGTAATTATTGCCAGAAAAATCATTTCACTGTATTTTGTGGCAGCTATAACTACATGTGACAAATAACGGATCTACATCTACACATCTATTAAGGATATACATCTACATCTAATATGCCCTGAAGGGTACATTGATTTGAAAAATCCCGTATTACAATCTTTACAATAAAAGTTCTGTTATACTTATTTTTTTCTCTTCGCTTTAATTGTCATTCAAACCACTTGACATGATAAGAACGAAACACCGTTTCATTTCAAGTGCATGGATAGACCGGAAAAGTGCGGGGGAGAGATACACCGGCACACAAAGCAATAGTAAACAATGATTGGAGATGTAGGAATAATAAATAGATATCAAATATAAAGTACTGCTTTAATAAATAAATATGCAAGTACTGACCACAGTGCAAATGGCAAAAAGTGACAAACTACGTACTTAGTAATTCATCTAGTTAATGATGCTATGATGTGAATATCCCTAATATCACTAACATGGGTCTAGAGTGGACGTGACGTGCTTCACTGGATAGAAACAGAAACGGCTACATTTTTGTGCATCTATATTTCCAGTCGCGTCTACTGTGCAGTATAACAAAAAGCTACGATGAACTTCTGGATGGTAACAGCAGAGGGAGCTAGAGGATTATCAGCGCTTGATTGAGTCTCGTTAGTTGGGGAGATTTTAGAATCGCTTTGGAACTACAAACAAGCCGGGACCTCATTGCAAACTCATCATAAAGTCAAATGAAGAACAGACCAGTGATAGATATAGCATCTTAAGACATAAGGAAAGAGTTGGAGAATTAAAACAAGCCAGTGGTGATTAGGGAGACTCTCTAATGAAGGCTTCCAAAAGCTTTATCCAGACAACATTATACTCCAGCAGGTGCTGATGATTACAGGACTGCAACCTCATGACTAAATTAATGCTGACCAAGGATAAATGACTTTGAGTGTAAGAGAAGAGCAGGTCAACTAAAAAAAAAGCAGGAATCTGTAAATTCAGCTGTATGAGCAGGAAACTAATAACATCTACTAGGATCGAGACACTATATATGTGTAAGGAGTTTCTAATGGAGATGTGCTGGCTAGAGAGGAAATGCTTAAATAAACCCCGATGCTGGAGGCTCCTGCCAAAACCATCGCCAGGATTATTGGAACAAGTTGTGCTTTGACATTCCTGTGAACCTGCACAGGTCTGGTTGACACTGCCCAGGGAGAACAATGAAACACAGTTCCTGGCAAGATATCGTCATGACAGGCGTTTCTGTTCAGTACCGAAGCATCGTGGAATACAATACGGGCCTTTTACTCAGAGCCACTCGTAGCCAGGGTGGGAGTATTTTCTGCAAAGCGGGAGTATGTGTGTTAATGCTCAACAATGTTAACCCATTACTATGTTAGCTGAAAACCATGTTTGTTAGCCATTGCTAGTCACGGTGTCCTTTAACGGGGATTTACAGGGATTAATGAAATGTCACCCGCAAGGCTTCCAGAACAAAACAACCTATATGAACAGTAAAGTAAATCTGACTGCCAGCTATGATTATGTCTGCCAGGTACGCCATTCTGGCGGGCATCCAGATTTATGTACAAGTCTCTCTGTTCTCAGTGTGGACTTTGACCTTGTTAAAATATACTAAATGCTATACTCCGTCACATTTTGGGTGACTCTGTGTAATGATTTTTTCCGTCTCTTTAACTTTAAGAATGGTGTTCATGCCTTTTGACTTATATTATATCCTAAGTCCCAAGGGCCAGTCTGAGGCACAGTGTGACTATTAATCAACAGCTGCAATGTGTGAGTAGGCTTAGAGTAGTGTTTGAGAGTAGCGTTTGCCATGAGAGTAGCGTTTTATTATACGGGGAACGAAATAGGTGAAGCGAAGGTTGTGGTTTAGTTCTGAGCATCCTTCACGGTAAAAACCACGATTGACGTGATTCGTGTCACCCTGTAATAGTGGTGATGAAGAAAGGAGACTGTCTGCAACCAGTCTAACTAAAGAACAAATTACGACAGCTTTATGAACGGGAAAAAGATATGAATTTCAGATTAAATGCAGCTCCGTTATGCAAAATATTCAGACAACGTGAATGTCGAGACTGCTGACAGTATGTTTACAAAGAGCAAACAGTACTTCCAAAAATGTTGACCTGCTTATGTACATGTCAAAGCAAGCCTGAGCGAAACAGGCAGTTAGAAGATGGATGGATGCTGCAGAGTCAGTTGCAATACAAAAATATTTACGTCACAATTAAAATATTTTTTGAATAGCAGCTTGTACAAATGGAGGAGAAATCAGTCTGGATGATGAAATGCTCCGAGAGAAGGTGCAGTGGCCACGGCCCCTGATAGAGGGGATACGCAGCCTTCTGCCCACGGCGCTGCGGCTGTTCTGCTCCTGCTTCGCTACCGCTCCCAAGTTCCATCCAGTTTTCAATTTTTGTAATTGGCGAAGCCACACTAAACAGCCCAGTGATCATGTGTCATCGTCAGATATGCCAGTCAAAAGAAAGCCTTAGGAATGTCTTACTTTCAAAATATCGTAATATGAGTGTGAAATAAAACCACTGAAACTGGCGACGAACAGCCTCACGTGGGGCCGGACCACCCAGGCCAAACACCTACGTCACAAGCCGCTGCACAGATTATTCTAATTCACTTGTAGTAATAAGTGACATTATGCAAAAGCCTTGGCTGCGCTTTGCTACTCCACCAGGAAAGACATTCTCCTCGGGCGAGTGTCGCCACAGTAGCTAACTGAAATAAAGCATGAAATGCGTTTGTTCTGCGGTATTTATCAAACGAGATTCCCTTGTATTGCGGCAGTTTGCCCTGCAGTTATTTTAAATTGTACTTTTAAACGTTCCGGCCGGAATCCAAGCATTGTACAATTTCATTTGAAAGCGTGCGACGCCTGTTTGGGACTGATATGCGGACAAATGAAGCGGCGATTTAAATGTCCGCACGGACTCGGAATCGATACAAAAAACCCGGAGCGAGGAGCAACCACGCACATTTTGAAAAGTGTATTATTCTGACACACATCCCCCAAGCCCGCTTCCATTGGCAGGAGCCTCAGGCTGGAGGAGGAGCCCGTTGTGAAGCATTAACTTGCGCTGGCACTGGCCTCCCAGTACAGCTCGCTCCACTGGTTCTGCGTGCTGCCCGAACCTACCGCGAGCCGCCTTCGCTTTATCAATCAGCCCGATCGGCAAAGACCTGATGGGTGATCAGCGCGTCCATTTGGCTATCGGTACCGGCGCCGGACTCACCTGAAGCGCATTTATCGACGCGATCGCGGCTACCGGCGCTATTCGGCGTTATTGCAGGGTGAGAGACTGACGGCGATCGTGTGAATAGCGGCGGCGCTTCGGTGTCGCTCCGAAAACTCACTACAGCCCGCAGGTTCGGTGAGTGCCGTCTCGTTCCTGTTTGTGAGAAGGACAACGACAGGTTTCTTTAGCTTGGAGAGAAGATCTGCCGTATAAGGATGTAAGCAGATCAGCCCTCTGCATTTTGCGAGGAGTTTCTGTAAGCGGCTCTCTGTCTTTTCCGGACGGGGTCTCAGTAGTGGACACAAGTTGCATCTGCCGCATGAAAGCCTTGGCTTTTAAGTATCGTTCTTTTTGGAACTTTTTAATTGTGTGTAATGCAAATATAAATGGGATTCTTGAGTGATTATTATTTTCTACATAATTATTATGTAGAAAATACCGCAATGTCATGTTTTAGGCTCGACAGAATCTTATTGACTGATTATGAATAAGACATAGTATTATACGGAATTCTCTACGTTAATAAAACGCAGGTCGGCCCCATAATTAACCTCGTAACTAAAACAGTAAAGGCAGAAAGAGTATCACCGGAGGCGATGCAGCCCCAGTTTGTAATTATATTTGGTAACTGAGCTGCCTTTCCAGTGTATTATTTCGGTATACGTACTCTTGCTTTAAATATTGTACTTTTTATTTTATATAAAAAGGTGTTTTTAGTGTGTTTGTTTTCTAGTAGCTTCTGATATCTGAATATTTTATCTTGGTAAAATTCTTCTATTCACAATTATTTTGAACCGAACCACGTCCTGTGCAGATTTTGGATTAATATATTACTGTTACATGATTTTGATCTGACGGGGGATCCGATAGCATTCAAATCTGAACGCGAAGAACTCGATACGGGGGAGGTATATTTACATAAAATACTGAGGATGTTTGCGGTCCTCTCGAGCCAAAACGATATCACGAGTTATTGGTATTACATGAGGTCTTGTTAAGATACTGATAAGTGCAGGAAGTGCGGCACACATACAGATCTTTGGTTACTGCTTTGTCATATAGTTCAATAAATTAAAATCGCATCAACACAGAACTAGACCCTGCAGCACGCCTGGAAGATATTTAGTTCCTATAAAGTGTGTATAGATCGATGAGGGTATGGCTTCCGCTAAACCAGCGTTGGCCTTTATGACCAAAGTTATCTGGGGTCTGTTGCTCAGGGCATAATTTGGCCAGACTATATAAATCATGGTTCTTGTTTTTATTTCTGTAACTTCTAGATCAAAGGTCAGCCTACAAGCCACATGTGCTGCTCCATTCCTAATAAGTGTGGATAACTGAATGACCTAACAGGCGGCGAGTAACAATTTAGACCGACTGTTCTTTGTCGTTAAAGCTTTGCATGTTCAGAAAAAGGGGCTTTATTGAGCTTGCATTTCCTTTTTTCCCCTTTGAATATAATATGACTTCCAACACTCTTGGCAAGCTGTCAGATTCTTTCTATATTTAAGATAAGGCTTAGTGCAGGGGTGTGTGCATGTATATTATCGCGACATGCAGTTTTCTGATTTTTTTTCCCCCCCCCCCCAGTTAGATCGACAATGTCTGTGAGCAGCCACGAGAACCGGAAGTCCCGATCAAGTTCTGGATCTATGAACATCTATCTGTTCCACAAGGCGTCGCATGCAGACAGCCTCCTGACGCAGTTGAACCTTCTGCGGAAGCGCTGCATCTTCACTGATGTGGTACTGCGGGCCGGCAACCGAGCCTTCCCCTGCCACCGTGCCGTGTTGGCTTCTTGCAGTCGCTACTTCGAGGCCATGTTCAATGGGGGGCTCAAGGAGAGCCGGGATGCTGAGGTCAACTTCCATGACTCCCTGCACCCCGAGGTGCTGGAGCTCCTCTTGGACTATGCCTATTCAGCCCGAGTCATCATCAACGAGGAGAACGCCGAGTCTCTCCTGGAGGCAGGAGACATGCTCCAGTTTCACGACATCCGAGACGCGTCGGCTGAGTTCCTGGAAAAGAACCTGCATCCGTCTAACTGCCTGGGCATGATGCTGCTGTCCGACGCCCACCAGTGCGAGCGGCTGTATGAGCTGTCCTGGAGGATGTGCCTGGCCAACTTTGCGTCTCTCTTCAGGACTGAGGATTTCCTCCGTTTGCCCAAAGACAAAGTTCAGGCCCTGATTTTCAGCGAGGAGCTTGAGGTGGAGGATGAGAGTCTGGTGTACGAAGCCGTCATTGCCTGGGTAAAGGCCGACATTGAGAGGAGACATGGTTACATCCCAGAGCTGTTGCGATTTGTACGCCTTGCCCTGCTCCCAGAATCGTACCTGCTTAAGAATGTTGTGTCAGAGGAGCTAGTAATGGGTCACAAACTGGGTCGGGAGATAGTCGATGATGCGGTCCGTTGCAAGATGAGGATCCTGCAGAATGAAGGTGTTGTCACTGGCTTCTGTGCCAGACCAAGGAAGGTTAGTCAAGCACTTCTGTTGCTGGGTGGCCAGACGTTCATGTGTGACAAGGTTTACATGATAGATCATAAGACCAAGGAGATTACCCCCAAAACGGACATCCCCTCTCCTCGGAAGGAATGCAGCGCCTGCGCCATTGGCTGCAAGGTGTATGTCACCGGTGGCCGGGGCTCCGAGAACGGGGCCTCTAAGGACGTGTGGGTCTACGACACGCTTCACGACGAGTGGTCAAAAGCCGCACCCATGCTGGTGGCCAGGTTTGGTCACGGGTCAGCGGAGCTCGATCATACCTTGTATGTTGTGGGCGGCCATACTTCTTTGGCTGGCTCCTTCCCGGCTTCCCCGTCGGTGTCCCTCAAGCAGGTGGAGCAGTATGACCCACAGGGCAACAAGTGGACGTTGGTTGCCCCACTGCGGGAAGGAGTGAGCAACGCTGCCGTCGTAGGAGCCAAGAACAAGCTTTTTGTGTTTGGCGGCACCAGCCTCAACCGGGACAAGTTCCCTAAGGTCCAGTGCTTTGACCCGTGCGTGAACTGCTGGACCGTTCCTTCCGTTTGCCCTCAGCTCTGGCGCTACACCGCTGCTGCCGTGGTGGGCAGCCACGTCGTCGTCATCGGCGGCGACACGGAATTCTCTGCCAGCTCCGCCTACCGCTTCAACAGCGAGACTTTCCAGTGGTCTAAATTCGGGGACGTCACGGCCAAGAGGATCAGCTGTCACGCCGTTGCGTCCGGCAATCGCTTGTATGTGGTCGGGGGCTACTTCGGAGCACAGCGCTGCAAGACCTTGGACTGCTATGACCCGTCCACAGACACATGGGACAGCGTTACCAGCGTGCCGTACTCTCTAATACCAACAGCGTTTGTTAGTACTTGGAAGTACCTTTCTGCATAGGAGTGAAACAGCATCAGTCTTGTAAGTAGTTTCGTGGAACGTTGCGTTGTAACGTTTTATACCTTTGAGAATTGTGTTAGAGAGGCGGTCTGCCTGTCGGTGATTTCAGAATAACCTTCTGTGTGTAAATGCATTTTGCCGGTCGGGGGAAATCTTAGCCTCCATCAAAGTATTAAATCATGTTTTCCAAATCCTCTTAGTGTGGCAAAAACAGGGAAAGGAAGTTAGGTGACAAAAAACAACGTTTCCCCCTCTCATCCAATCATGGAGGAATCTTGGGAATGTTGTGTTGGACTTGGGGCTCATGTGGTGTTTACCTTTCACGTGGGCTGCACTGATCTGCGCTGCTGGCCTTCCTGTCGAGCGCGGGTTAGATGGGGGGGGCTGGCTGGCTGGGTGACAAAGCCTTTGATGTTGAAAGGGGGGTACTGAACAAGCGGTTTGGTGTTAGAGTTACAGTGTGGAATGCGAGGTAATTACACCGGTAATTACAGTGCAGATTCTACAGCATAGGACTCTGGAGAAGAATTAATGGATCACTGCTTGCGTAGAGGCTGTGAGGTGTGTGAAATCCCACAGGGTACAGGGTAGGAGTTGAATCCATTTGTTCATTTAGTGTGTTTTTTTGTGGGCGGGATAAAGCTTTAAATAGGCCCAGAGAGTTGGTGTGATATTGAGGGTGTTTGGAAGTGGACACAATTTATTGTCGTCGTCCCCCCCACCCCTTTGGCTGCCGTCGTGTCTTCAGCTGCCAGGTGTGGCCTCACATTCAGTGTATGAGGTGGAAGTGGCTGTTTGTTCACTGTAGCTGTGTGTTAGCGGGAGTCGCCGTACAGAGCACTTCATGAACAGGCAGCTTGGCAGCCAGGCTGAAGGAGCACGCGGACGCTCTAACTGGGCAGGAGCCTCGCTGGGCGGGAGCAGCTGTTTGAACAGCGGGGTGCGGAGATGCTCTAAGCCCTCCGACAGCCTCTGGCGCTTTACGACGCTTCTTCGCTCCTGGTTAAGTCGTCGGCAGCTCCACTGCAAGCTCTCTCCTCTGCTCTGCTGCATGTCCCGGGCCTGTTCCAGAGGCTTGTTTGTCCAGCATCTCAGATGTTGGAGGAAGGGAGGGAGAAGCTATATTTTGCACTCTTTGGCAGCCAAGAGCGGCAAACCTAAAAATATCCATCGCTCCTAGAGCTTCAAACGTTCGAGCCGGGGTCAGAGGAGAAGTCGGCTGTCTGTGGACCCCCTCGCTCGGGCCATTTATCGCCACGTCACCCCTTGGTGTCCCTCACTTCCTGTGCGGTCGTTGGCCTTTTACTTTTCACTCCCAGCAAAATGCCCTCTGTCTTGAGGATGAAAATGTGAATGAAGCCCCATCTGGTGTTTACTGGGAGCCGGCAGTGTACAGATGCATTTTATCTGGGTATAGAATTCCCTTGTGGCTTTTTAGCTTTTCTTCTTCTTTCTCACTCTGGTCTTTGAACTCTGCGCACATGTGCGTATTGGTTGTCCTCTTCCAAATTCTTACCAGGATAAGCAGCCTGGAAAAGAAATATTTGTTCTAGTAAAAGCAAGCCTGTTATGGTCTGTCCCTGGATGTCCGATAAGATGGACACTTAAAAAATGCAGACTCAAATATCCCAACGGCTGCCGAATGAAATCGATGGAGGACCTTTCCCTAACGTGTGTGTGTTGACGGTTTGACGGGGATGTTGGGCCTCCTGTTTTGATTTGTTTGGCTCACTTGGCAGAACGTGAGCAGAGGCTGGATTAGCAGCTGAGCTGAGACCGTCTCAGTGTGTCCTGGACTTCGCTTCTCCTGCCGCTGTAAGGCGAGATGCCGGCTGGGCGGGATGCAGAGCGCGGGCGGCAGAGACCCATTTTAATGAACAGAGCCCTCGGCGCGTGCAGCAAGTCACAGCGGGATGGGGTCGGAGGTCACGGGCCCACGCCAGTTTGCCTTCCCCCCCGAGAGGGGGAGGGGCGTCACGCGTATCGCCCATCACTAATGTTTTATTAATGCCCCCTCCAAAAGGCAGCTGAATGAGCCATTTTATGACACCTGTGCTCTTCTGTGACACTCAGAGGACCCCATTCCGCCTCGGTGTCCCCAGAGAAATCAACTTGCCTGATTATAGCCTTAAGCGTGGCTGCATTTGCATAAATCTAATCGTGTTTTTTTATTGCTCTCTTACACCCTTTGTGTCCACTGGTGCCCAGAGGAGAAGTTGCTTAAAATCTGAATGGTGGTGTCACATTAATGTGATTACAAGTAAAAAGTTAACGAGCTGTCGGCTTCATTTAACATTTAGCATCGTTACTGCCTCCTGCAGGCCGGTTGGTGTATATGTTCCAGTATATCTTTGGGCCATTTAGCTATATGGCTTGAACGGTTTGCTTTCAGGCAGTTGGCAGTGCCGGTCTGTTTGTGGTGCCTTGACCTTCGTTGGCAGACTTTGACGCCCCAAGACTCTCTGACATGCTCTCGAGAAGCCAGCTGTTGGATTTACGTGTCCGGAGATTCGTTTTGGATTTGGCATGTTCATTAATAAATATCGCTGTACTTTGGGTGCCTGTGAGGGACAGGGAAGTTGAGCGGCTTTGGATGAATGGTGGGGGGGTGATGGGTAAGTGTGAGGTGGTGTGGAGGGGG